TCCGATTTAATATATATATTATACATTGGTGCCCAAATTCTCTCTTTTGGTCTGGACTTGTGTAGTTTATAGTTTTCTGTTTTTTATAAAAAATATAATTATAATTTATCTTCTTTTGTAGGATGAGCGTGAGTAAACCAACGTAGCTGGCAATATGGTTCATGCACAAGTTATTGGAAGAAAATTTGCTTTTAAAATTGTTATTAGAATAGAAATATGACTCTTGGAGATGTTCTTGTTATTTTTTATAAGTAAAAACATATGTTTTAGTGGTATTTAGTTTTTAAAAGTATGTAAAATACTTGGTGCTTAAGTTGTATTGACTTTTGCAAATATATATCATATATCAATTTTTATATATATTTGTGATGTTTTAAAGGATAGAAAATGTAAATTGTGTATGTAGCAACTACATATTTATTGTTGCTAGCTGTACAACAGGAAATGAATATTATTGGCAAAAAATAATTTTGTGGCCACAACAATACTTGTTGCTAAAAGCCTTTATAACAGAATATTACCTGCCCTCCCGCCAATATTTTTTGCCACAACTAATATTGTTGCGAAAAAATAATAATTTATCGCAACAATAATTGTTGTTGCTAAATATTTTCATAAACCACAATTATGTGACCAAAATATAATTAATGGCAACAACATTCTTTGTTGCGTTAAAACAACATTTTGCAACGTCTTTTGTTGTTGCAAAAACTTTTCCCATCAGCATTTATTGCAACGGCATGCAACAACTTTCCTGTTGTTGGCAAAAGTACTTTTTGCAACAAAATTCAATATATGGCAACAAATAAATTTGTTGCAAATTCCATGCTTTCTTGTAGTGACTGAAGACTCTTGTGATCCATGAACACCTCACATGCCACGCCATACAGATAATGCCTCCAAATCTTCAATGTGTGAACTATGGCTGCCAACTCCAAATCATGAACCGGATAGTTCTTCTCATGAATCTTCAACTGCCTCGAAGCATAAGCAATGACCTTGCCATCCTGCATCAACACTGCTCCAAGCCCAACACGGGAAGCATCACAATAGACTGTATAAGGCCCTGAACCTGTGGGCAAAACCAACACCGGTGCTGTAGTCAGAGCTGTCTTGAGCTTCTGAAAGCTCGCCTCACACTCATCCGACCATCTGAACTGGGCACCCTTCTGGGTCAATCTGGTCATCGGGGCTGCAATAGATGAAAACCCCTCCACGAACCGACGATAGTAGCCTGCCAACCCCAAGAAACTCCGAATCTCTGTAGCTGATGCTGGTCTAGGCCAGTTCTTGACTGCCTCAATCTTCTTTGGGTCCACCTGAATACCCTCTGCTGATACAACATGACCCAGAAATGCAACTGAACTCAACCAGAACTCACACTTCGAGAACTTAGCATATAACTGACTATCCCTCAGAGTCTGAAGAACCACTCTAAGGTGCTGCTCGTGCTCCTCCTGGCTGCGGGAATATATCAATATATCATCAATGAAAACTATCACGAATGAGTCCAAATAAGGCCTGAACACTCGGTTCATCAAGTCCATGAAAGCTGCTGGGGCATTTGTCAACCCGAATGACATAACCAAGAACTCATAATGCCCGTACCGAGTGCGGAAAGCTGTCTTAGGGACATCGGATGCCCTAATCCTCAACTGATGGTAGCCAGATCGCAAGTCAATCTTGGAAAATACCCTGGCACCCTGAAGCTGGTCGAACAAATCATCAATCCTCGGCAGCGGATACTTATTCTTGATTGTAACCTTGTTCAATTGCCGGTAATCAATACACATTCTCATTGACCCATCCTTCTTTTTAACAAACAACACCGGCGCACCCCAAGGCGAAACACTGGGTCTAATGAAACCCTTCTCAAGCAAATCCTGCAACTGTTCTTTTAACTCCTTCAACTCCGGCGGGGCCATACGATATGGCGGAATAGAAATGGGCTGAGTGCCCGGAACCAGATCAATGCAGAAATCAATATCCCTGTCGGGTGGCATACCCGGCAGGTCTGAAGGAAAAACATCAGGGAACTCACAAACAACGGGCACAGAATCAATAGAGGGAACCTCAGCACTGGAATCCCGAACATAGGCTAAATAGGCCAAACACCCCTTCTCGACCATACGCCGAGCCTTCACATACGAGATAACACTGCGGGTAGAATGACCAGGAGTCCCTCTCCACTCTAAACGAGGCATACCCGATAAAGCTAAGGTCACAGTCTTGGCATGACAGTCCAAGATAGCGTGGTAAGGTGATAACCAGTCCATCCCCAATATAATATCGAAGTCAACCATGTCTAGAAGCAACAAATCTACACGAGTCTCAAGACCCCCAATCACCACAATACAAGAACGATGGACTCGATCGACCACAATAGAATCACCCACCGGTGTAGACACATAAACAGGAATACCCAATGCATCACTAGGCATGACCAAATACGGGGCAAAATAGGATGACACATACGAATACATAGACCCCGGATCAAACAACACTGAAGCATCTCTATCACAAACCAGAACCGTACCTGTAATAACCGCATCTGAAGCCTCTGCCTCGGGCCTGGCCTGAAGAGCATAACATCGGGGCTGGGCCCCACCACTCTGATCTACCTCTCTAGGACGGCCTGCTGCTGGCTGGACTCTACCTCTAGCGGTCTGAGCTCTACCTCTATGACCTCTACCTCCACCTCTGGCACATCTACCCCCACCTCTAGCTGGCTGGGCTGGCTGTGGAACACCTGGTGCCTGAACCATGGCACGAGAACTCTGATGCTGAGAACTGCTCGGTGCTCGAGGGCAAAATCTAGCAATATGACTCGTGTCACCACAAGTGTAACAAGTCCTCGGCTACTGAGTCTGCTGGCCCTGTCGACCTGAATGACCACCACGGAAACTCTGAAGTGGCGGTGCACTGATAGGAGCTGGAGGTACACTGAATGGCTGCTGATCAGAATAGTGCGCATGAGAACCACGGCCACCTGAGGCACCGTGAGAAACCTAGAGGGCTGACTGGAAAGGCCTAGAAGGCTGACCCCTATCATACGAATCTCTGCCTCCAAACGAGTCACCACTGAATCGGCCTGACTGACGGGGTCTCTTGTCTGCCCTATGCTACCCCCCTGTGACAATACCATCTCAATCCTCCGGGCCACATTGGCCCCCTCCTGAAAGGATATCTCGCTCCCAGCCTCTCTAGCCATCTGGAGACGAATAGGCTGAATGAGTCCATCAATAAACCGTCTCACTCTCTCCCTCTCAGTGGGAAGTATAACAATAGCATGGCGGGCCAACTCAATAAACCTGGTCTCGTACTGGGTGACTGTCATGGATCCCTACTGGAGACGCTCGAACTGCCTCCGATAGGCCTCTCGCTGTGTAATAGGGAGAAACTTCTCCAGAAATAGATGTGTGAACTGCTCCCAGGTCAAGGCTGGAGATCCTGTTGGTCTAGCTAAACAATAATCCCTCCACCAAGTCTTGGCGGATCCAGACAACCGAAATGTAGCGAAATCGACCCCATTGGTCTCAACAATACCCATGTTCCGAAGAACCTCGTGGCAGCTGTCCAAATAATCCTGAGGATCCTCGGTAGATGCACTGCTGAAGGTAGTAGTGAAGAGCTTGGTGAACCTGTCCAATCTCAACAAAGCATTGGCAGACATAGCTGCTCCATCACCGGCCTGGGCTACCACACCCGGCTGAGCTGCTCCAACTGGCTGAACTGCTGGAGTCTGAATCGGGGGAGCTACCTTCTCCGGAGTACGAGTAGCAGGAGTCTGGGCCCCTCATCCAGCCTGAGAGATGGCTGGTGCTACAGGAAGCAAACCTGCTCGGGTAACACTCTCCATGAGACCCACCAATCGGACCAGAGCGTCCTGAAGAACTGGGGTAGCAATAAACCTCTCTGGGACCTGAGCTGGGCCCACCGGAACTGCTGGGGCTGTGGCCGGAACCTCCTCGTCAAAGTCAACCTGAGGCTCTGCCACTGGTGCTGCTGCTCGGGGCTGAGCTCTGCCCCTACCTCGGCCTCTAGAACGGCCTCGCCCTCTGTCCCTAGTGGGAGCTGCCTGGGGCTCGGACTGCTGATCAGAAGATGAGGAAGCGCGTGTTGATAACTGTGATTTTAACACGTTTTATGCCCATACTTGCCTATGCTTTATGTATGAATTGTCATAAAATAGACCCAGAATGCTTACAAAGTGCGCTTGATTGCAGGTTTGAGCGACAAGATGACAAAAGTCAAAAATTGGCTCGAAACGGAGTGAAACCTTCTCAAGTGTCAAAAATTATTGAAGTGGGGACAAGAGGACCTAGCGCGGACCGCACTGATTTGTTGCGCGGCTGCGCTAGGAGATTCAGAGAGTATACATTTCAAGGGTTTCCATGTGCGGTCCGCGCTCCTTTCTACGCGGTCAGCGCTTGTGTCCACGCAGTCGCGCTTCATTGTTGCGCGGTCCGCGCCCATTAGCCTACGTGGCCGCGCTACCTCTTTGCGCGGTCCACGCCCCCAACTTCAGAAGTGAGTGATCGAAGACCAAGACCCCTACGCGGCCGCGCTGCATTTCTGCGCGGTCCGCGCCAGCCCCGCAGGGGTATTTTTGTCCAGTTTTTCTAGCCTAGTATAAATAGAATATTTTATTATTTCTAGGTCAAGAATTAGATATCAGATAGTAGCAGCACTCGTGAGACTCAAGTTTTAGCCTATTTTGGGCATTTTCATCTTGTTTTATCGTGGATTTTTGTAGATTAACATTCTAGTTAATTAATATGTTGATTTTATCTTCTATTTCTTCAATTTCTGTTGCTATTATGTCTAGCTAAACCCATTAGCTAGGGTTATGGCTCAACCCTAGTGTGGGTAATTAATGGGTGTGATTGTTTAATGCTTGAATGATGTTGGGTGTTTGCTATTGGGGTTAATTTTATGATTTAACTAGGATTTGGTGGTTGCAAACACTAAGTCTAGCTTAGTGGGTCTTGACTCTTCTTGAGAAAGAGTGTCTATGACTCCAAAATTAACCCAACAAGGAATTGGGATGGACCCATGAGAATGGTAGTCCCAATTAACGGGTTAAACCTCGAGAGAGTAATTACCCAACTTGAGCCCTAAGTTGCTTGGGCTTGTTGGCCTACCCAACTGGTCTCGAGAGAGTCAATTGGGCAAAATCACTCTTTCTACCGAGAGGTGTGAGAGTGAATGCAATCGTGCAACGGTTATAGCATAAGCCCCATAATCATCATTCTTGTATTAGGAATCTCTATCCGTTAGTTGACCACCTAGGTAAATGCCACGACCCTAGTGCCTTTCTCTATCTTGCATACAACCTAGAATTAATATCTTAGCATAAT